AAGGAAGAGAAAAAGAGGCAGTTTTAAGATGCTGCGACTTCCTAGAGCCTGGCGGGTTTACAACCAGCTCGGCAGCAGTGAAACAAACTTGCTGTCAAAGTTTACCGACGCTCAGCGAGGAGGAGCGCATCTCGCCGCCCGGCCGGGCACCCGCGGGCTTTGTTCCGCCGGGAGCGAAGCCCCGGGAGCTGCCAGGGCTGCCCGCTGTCCCCGGGCGGCAGGCAGGCTGGCCGGCGGGTTGGCGGAGCGCTGTCCCGGCCGGGCAGGGTCCGGGGTTCTCTCCCGGTCCGGCCTGGGACAGCCGAGCCGCGCTCCGCCCGCCGGGAGAGGCGGCGGCGCTTGTGCCCACCGCCCGACGGAAGGGGCAGACGCGACTTTTCTGGGTGTTTGTATGGCTCGCCTACGAGGGAAGGGGCCGTCTCTTTTCCCCCTCGGCCTCCTCGGCCCGTCTCTTCTCCCGGGAGCTCCGGAGGGAGCCGGGGGCCGGCGCTGCACAGCCCTGGCACACAGGGACCGTGCGGGGGGACGGCGCTGCCCCCCGGAGCGGCAGCCCCAGGGCTGCAGGGCAGAGATCTTGTGCTCCCTCCATCTAGGGGCTCTCTTTGACGCCATGAGCTGCTTAGGGCGAGCTCTTAGGATAGTTTTTCCGTAAGAAAAATCCGAGTTATTGTGAGGTGCGGTCCCCATGCATTTTTAACCATAGTGATTACTAAATTAATAGCAGGCCCTAAGACAGATGTCAAAACGTCTTGAAAATGTTTATCTGTGAATAATTGAGAAGGTGGTAAGACGCATTATCTGATTGTATAATGAAATATGTATGAGGAACAGCTGTTTGCAATAGTCACCTCCCGTTGTTTCATTAGCCTAGAGCCTCCTCTTTAAAGGAGCGCTTCCCTGAAGTTGGCCATTCAGCCTCCGCCGCTTCCACCGGCGCCGGCGGCCGAGCCGGAGCCGCAGCGGGGAGAGGTGAACCCGGGGCTGTCCCCAGGCCGGTCACGGGCCCTCCCCGCGGCATTTCTCACTGCTGCTCCGCTCCGAGGGCGGGAGGGAAGAGGCGCGGATGGGGTCCGAAGATGTCCTGCCGGGCAGTCTCAGCCTGAAGAGGACGCCCTGAGAGGAAGGATCCTAGATGCTCGTCTCGGAAGCACAACAAACAGCCATTTATTAAGATTTCATGCCAAGCAGCGATGCCTCGACTGCTTAGCGTTGACATAAACTTCCAGACGTCGAGCATATGCTGTTGCACAGCATTGTTTATGTGTGGTACCAGATGTTGCTTTGCATCCTATTGTCTGGAGACAATGTTTAGCTCAGGTTAAAATATCTTTACTTAAACTGCTCAGTTGGCCATTGTGTGAGCATTAGTGAAGTGTCATGGAGAGGTAATGGGAAGTCCGGGGAGGTTAGCTCTCCGAGCATGGCCAGAAGGTCCCTGGTTCATGGTGGGGTTACAGCCAGCACTGTCATCTTTTGTTTTCCCTCCTCAGAGAACCCTTGTCCTTCCTCTAAAAGGATGTGCCCCGCTCTCATTCCCTTCTGAGTTTTCTCCACCGTTTCATGAAGCGGCCCGATGTTTGTTTTTCCAGTTCCCCTAAATCGCCCCAAAGAGGAAAGCAAAGCACGCTCCTGCGTCACCGCCACCCCAGCCGGGCCGGGCCGGGAGGAGCGGGGATGCTGGCGTCGGGGGGAACCGGGCCGGGAGCAGAGTTCACGCCAGAGCCAAGCCGGCGACTCCCTCCCCCCGAAACGCCCGGCCGAGCCTCCTTCCCTCCTTCCCTGCTTCCCTGCTTCCCTCCTTCCCTGCTTCCCTCCTTCCCTGCTTCCCTGCTTCCCTCCTTCCCTCTTTCCCTCTGTCCCTCCTTCCCTCCGTCCCTCCGTCCGTCCGGGCAGGGCAGCCCCCTCCCGCCTGGAGCCTTTTCTTCCCTTCAACCCCGCAGTTTGGGCCGGCCGCGGCTGCTGACCTGTGGCAGGACTTTTGCTCCGGGAGAGAGGGGAAAAAAGCTATAGACTTTAATCGGATTTCTCCCCAAACACTCCTGGTATGTTGTTGTTATGCATCTATATGGAGATCATTATTTATAAATGAGCGAGTACGATCAGTCGCAAAGACTTTAAGAGCCCGGATTTGTGTCACTAAGTTGAGGGCGGGGTGGCGCGGCTCGGCGGGGTGGTGGCCGAGCGGGATGTCACCTGTCCCCCCGCTTGTCCCGAAGCCACCCCGGCACCCCGGCCGAGATCCCCCCGGTGCGGGCCCGGGGCTGCCCCCGCCTGCTCCATGTTCTATCCTGCTCTACACAACGCAGGCAGGTTGCCCCGTGTACCAGGTGCCCCCGAAGAGTGGAGAGGAGGTGAGAACATTTTCCAGCAGCAGCAGCAGCAGCAGCAGCAGCAGCAGCAGGTTTTGTTGGTCACTGTAGTCCCTACCTCTCCTGCTCCCCGACATTTGTGAAGCCGCTTCAGGGCACAGTTAACATGTCTCTAAATGCTCGAATTAAACAAAAAGCCGCATTGTGTACTTCAGCATCGAAAGAGAGGGTTTGCAAAGTGATGCACCGAATAATGTAGATGTGTTTGTGCGATTTTCAGCATTTTTGCCTGTGCATAATCCCTTATGCCTTTTATTACAGCCCTACACATTACAGTTCATCTGTAAAGATACTGCTTCAGAGGGACCTGTTGCACACAGTGATGGTAATTAGTAACCTTGGTAACAGTTTTAAATAAAGGTTATAACAATGATGTCAACTGTTTTTATTCATCATACCGTAAATGGGGTCTCAATGTTATTGTGCCTGTAGAGGACAGTGTTTAAGAAACAGTTATGACGTTCCACTTTACTTATTATAGTGCGAGTTATCACTTTTTACCTTGCCCTTAAGTAAACATGATCGTGGTTCTAAATAGTATAAAGATTTTCAAAATGCTGAGGACTCTGTAAACTTTAATCTTCTGAATGAGGTAGATGTTATTATGAATTAGACTTATCAGGCTCCAAGTACCCTTATGAAGAACACTGTAGTCTTCCAGAGAAATACCTCAGAATTAGAACTGCTTAGAAACCGTAATGAGCAATGTTAGCAGTGGCTATACCATTAGCCTTCTGCACAGGCTATCTCCTCTATTAAAGCTTACAGAAAATGCTCACAAGCTGAAAGCTAAATTGAATATAATTGCTTTTATTTACCTATTGCTTTCATATAATTAAAATATTTTTAGTTACCTTTATCAAACAGCATCCACTTCGAGTATTACCTGCCACATCTATTAATCCATTTTTCTGTATTAACTACACCACCATTAGCTATTGAAATATGTAGATACACGCATATGTATTACCTATATTGTCTTTGTCAAGATATGTTTTAGTTCTCATTAACAAAAAATATTCTTGTGGAAGAATCTCTGAAGCATGTTTTTCATGCACATTTATTAATAATCACAGTTGTCAAGAATTAGATACGCACAGATTGCAAACGGAAGGAAAATATTATATGCAAAATGAAATATAGAGTAGAATTGAGTATAACTACTTTTCCTCCTTAAAATAAAAAATTTACAGAGTGAAAAACTGAGCTATTAAGCTTACTTAAAAGATGGCTTTGTTGGTTTAATTATACTGTAGTTATTTTATAAATATGTTTCAAAGGAAGTTTGCCATATTGAATGTCAATGAAGCCTGTAAAGAAAAGACTTACAAAAGCTAATGCATACCAAATACCAAATTTTAGTCATTAGCATTCCTATTTATTACAAACTGGAGGAACCTATTAACAGACAAGAATTTGTGTTTAGCTAGCATTACAATGTTTAGCCATTAAAATAAAAAAGGGCAAAAACTTACAATCTTCTTCCCCTGCCCTTTAGAATGATATGTTCCTTTTACTCAGAGAAATGCATCAAAAAACCTGATAACAGAAACTGTGATTCTTCATTATTGCCATCTGTACCAGAGCAAAACCTGTATTGTTTTATTCAGGCAACATTTCTACTTTTTTCAAAGGACCAGGGCTGTCCGATCATGCAATTCAAAAATTTTGCACGTACCTTAGCACCTGCATTGGAAGGACTTCTGGCCAAGGGGAAGCATGGACTTGATTCATGGTTTTGGGCTGATTCATGCCTACAGGGTCGAGCCTGGAGGCTGCCAGGCCTGATCCAGCATCAGTAGGCACTTCTCTATCACATTCAGTGGTTTAGGTCAAGTCTGGGGTGTGGGTAGCAGCTTTCGTGCTGAGGATGGAGGAAGGAAGGACTAAACCATTCATGAGGTTAAGCAGGCTGCTAACCAGAAGTTTCTTTTCCAGTGCTTGTCGCAAAATCAGCATATTTATTCATGTGCTGCCTATTTGTTCAAGAATTTATTTAAAATCTCTTGGCCAAGCGTTTCTACTTTTCAAATACCCTTTGAGAAATTGTATTTTTGTCTCTTTTGAAGACGAGTGTGTAAAAATATATTACCCCTCAGAATTTCTGAAAAACAGTTAGGCATGTTATTATGTAACATATTAAATCTCAACTATAAATGATAAATAAGCTTACTTGTGTTTTCCACCAAACTGCACACTTTTGTGTAAAAAGAGAAGTTTCTGGGGATATTCATGATGAAGTAACAAACCGATAGATCTTTTCCCTTTTGTTGCATCCCACACGGTCCTTGCCTTCTCAGCTTGTGGGTGGGCATCACTCCTAGACATTCTGTTGCGTGTATTCAAATTGACAGAGAGATTCAAAACAAGACCAAAGAAGCAGCAAAACATCTACAGAACTTCTGTATGACAGATGCTGTCAAATGCCTGTTTTGCCTCAAAGATTGCTTCAGTTTTCAAAGAATGGGGGGAGAGGGGTGGAGAGCTGTTCAGGAAAGTTCAACCCACCTGTTTAATCTTTGTTTTCCAATTTTCATTGTTAATTTCTAAACCAGGCTTTGCACTTAATTTAATAAAGTGTTTGGTTTGACTAATAGGGATCACTTTTGATTTTGATTTTGCAAGAATAGAGTGAAGACTAGTACAAAGAAAATTCACTGTATAAACATCCTGCCCAAGAAAGGAAGGTTCGCCCATACTCCATCTACAGAATTTGTAAGTACAAGAAATTTGTTCTCTTCAAAGATTTAAACTCCTTGGCTTTAGGATGCCATCGTAGGGCTGGTTGTTTATAGCTTTTGCACGAACATATGGTGAGAAGTTTGACTGAAATAGTTCTACAAACAGCATATCTTAGCATGTATGAAATATTTTGAATAAAGGAGTTCCTGTGTGACCCCATTTATGTGATCCAAATTGCTGCTTTTCACTAATGAAAACAAAACTGATCTGAAATTTGCATGAGTGTGATGTCTGGGGATAACAGTCTCATGGAATCAAAATGATGCAGGCTGTCTCTGATTTTGCTAAGATAAATTAGAATTTGGGAGGAAGAATCTCATGGAAAATTAAATATAAAAGCAGACAGAGTTTCTGAAATTTTAAGAACCACTATATTTTCCTAGGAGATTTTTTTTGAGTCAAAGATTTTAAGTTTATAATCAATGAAGAGCAGTGGTTCGAGGCTGCAGACAGCACAGATTCAAATAAGACTGAAGGAATCTTTATATTGTCTCTCAAGTATTGTAACCTTCACAGGGTGGGCTTTTTCTAGGTCAGCATGTCTATAACCCAAAATGGAGCTGATCCATAGATCTACAACTCAGACGCTGCCACAAAGATAGATGTCTTGCAGGTCTTTCACTTACACATGCTAGATAGATACTGTTAGAAGTTTTTTGGCAGAAAAGCATTAATTTGCAATATTTCTGCCAATCAAACCCAAACTGATTTAACTCTAAGTCCTGTTGCTAGAATGGCAAATGTATTTAAAGGAGAAATGGTAGTAATGCAGTAGTTCTGATAGTGAGGTTCAGACAAAAAAAAAAAGAGCAGCCCTATGGAAGAAAAAGTGGTCTGATGAATCACTTCTTTGTTCATACTGTCCCTTTAAAACAAAGCAGAATACAAATGTTTGAACAAAAATGCTTCAGTTGTTGCACTCTCAGCAGTGCTTTCTCTTTCTCACCTTAAACCATCCAGAGTCCTTTGTAGCCACATACAGTATGCTACAGAACAATTTGGAAAAGGTTCATCTATCAAGTTTAACAACTTTCTGGTGTAACTTCAGAGAGGTTTATTGCTTATTCATGTGGAAGTGAGTACACCCAACTTGTTTTGCCTGGTTTTGCTACTTTTGCTGGTTTGCAGGCTGTTCTGGTAGCTGCAAATGGCTTCTCAAGTGACATTTGCTGACATTCAGTAGTGTATATTTATCAGTATTCTTCACCTCACTTCTATACGTGTAATCTATTTTATTTTGTTCCTCATAGCAACCTCCTTTCCACTGTCCATGGCCTGAAAATGATAAATGGCACAGTGGCATATTTTCCTAGCTGCACTAAAATGTCACTGTGAAAAATCTTTAATGGGCTAAGTGTAGCTTTTCAGGTTATGACTTGTCAAGTTATGGAGAAATTCTAGAGTTTCTCCCTAATCCACCATTCTTTGGTACCACAGCACTGCCGGCAGAGACTAATTATAAGTTACACCAGTCAGAGCAGGGCAAGAGTAAATGAAGTAGAAACTGTTTGATCAAGGCTCATTTATACTTGCTTTTGCACTTGTGCTGTGTTACCTGATGTGCTCTGTGCAGGCTGATGCTGGATGTGCCTTACTGCTCGTGTATGAATATGCACACATGCTGAGGTCCAGGTTATTGCAAAGAATTTGCTCATCACTGCAGCACTGGACATGTTTATGCTGCTCCTGCATCTGGGAGTGCTGAGGGAAACCCTCCAGGCTCTAAGAAAGGGTCTCTGGTGGCACCTGTGATTAAAATGAACCCTAACTGGAAATACACAGGTGAGAGCACCTAGTGTTACCACCCTCTTTTAGTTTAGGTACCAAAATAGGTCAAGAGAGGCTGACTTAGATTTTAAAGCAGCCTCAGAAATACAATGTACCTGCCCTGGACTCAGGGATCTAGAAGACTATTCTCCTTTAGGTTTTCTATTCCTTTTCCAGCAGTTCTTCATCAACTTTTTGGACAAAATGCTCAAGTCCAGAATATAGAGCAGTTTTTGAGAACATTCACCCTAAATCTGACTGCAGATGGTACTTGGGTGTCACTTTTCCTTAGTTTTCCCTGCCTTTGCAATGAATACTTAAAAGAAACATCTTAGTTCCTTAGTTATTTTCTTTAAAAAGAAACCTACTTCCCTGTTCTATGATCATAAAGCATCATGCCCAGATTTCCTCCCATCAAAGAACTAGAAAGCACAAAAGGAACTAAATGCTAGAACCAACAAGAACATTTGTTCTGTAGCAAATGATGAATGGTGTAATTTATCTGACAAAGAGGGCATTTTTGGCATTGAGGGACAACAGTGCTCCTTTAGATCATGCCATGAAGTAGGAAGTAGCTGAAATTATTTTTATATAATTGATTTTTCTATTACTTGCATTTAACGGGTATTTTTTTATCAGTGAGGGCAAGAGTTTGGAAATTTTGATATGACATGCAGCATAAAATACTTGCTTGGCTTTTGAAAAGGAGCCAGGGTGGAAGTGCTTTAGGGTAAAATCTACCTTCCTCTTCTCCCATTCCCTACACCAACTTCCACCTTACTACTAACATGCTATTACAAGTCCTGTGCCCTCTTATATCTGTTCCACAGTATCCATATTTCACTCTTAGGACTTAAGCGTTCACATAATCCATGATCACTTCCTGCAAGGATGTGACTTTAAGTCCCTATGCCTACAAAATATGCTCAGTGGGGGAAAATCTCTTATCTGACTAACTTCAAAATCATGTCAGTCTTAGGAAATGTCATGAGTCCATCAGCTTTCCCAATTAACATTTTTGGTGCCTATTTACTGTGTAGACATAGATCACCCAGTACTTTGCTTTAGAACACAGTTTAGACCTCACTTTGTTTTCAAGGGAAAGTTCAAGGGAAAGAAACATCTTCTAGTAGAATAGCTGAAAGCAACATCTGGAACAAGGTTTTTGTATACAAAGGAGGATTTTTGTCTGAAAGCTTTTTTCCTCCTAGTTAAAACAGTTGGTCTAAGAGAAAATATTGCCTTTTCCAGCAGTTTTTATTATATTCTTAGACCATACTACTAAAAGAGTCAGCAGTATTACCATGCTTTGCTTGTCCTGAAGGGGTGAAAAATAAACTTTAAAGGCTTTTGAAATGAAACCCTATTACGTTTTTAAGCCTTTGGCTAATTATCTGCAGTTGACAATCTCCTGGAATCCAGCAGAAGCTCTGTACTTGGATCTAGAAATTCTAAAATTTATAGGCTTTCCCCTAGCACTGCTCCTAGAGGACAAGCAAAGGCTTTTCTCCAGTTCACTCTGCAGCCCTCAGTTTACCCTGAGTTCAGTTTGCTGCACTTACTACCTGTCCTGGTGAAAGCCAGATGAGTAAGTTCTGCTACCACTATGGTCAAGAATCCCAGGAGCTCTAAAGAGCCTTGGAGTTTTCTACAGCTTCAAAGGCACTTTCTCCCCACTCAGAGGAGTGTAAATTCTGCCACTGACTGGGGTCTGAACCTGGCTCTGAGAGTTTAACTTGCAATGTTCTGGTGCTACACCATCCTTCAGGAACACCTCTGCCCGCTCCACAGGCAGGAGGCCACATCAACCTGCTCTTTGCACTTCTTCAGAGACATTCACCAAAAACTCTCTGGGTCAGAGGAAGCAGATCAGCATTGAGCCTTCATGCATAACTTGCCAGTTTGGCAACTACTTTTTTTTTTTTCCCCAGCATGGCATTGCAAGGGATTCAGCTTTTCACATCTATTTATTTAGTTTGACTGCTTATGGCCTTTCAAATGCAACTGTCTTCTGTGTGTCCAAATGCCACGGGGGATGGTTTGGCTTTGTGAAAAGATGGTGGAAAAAAGGAAATAAAGCAGCTTCCCCAAGGGCTTATTCATAAGACACACTGCTGCTTGTGGCTTATTTCCCACGGAGGACAAAATTTCTCCTAGTGTTTGACATATATGAAGATACCACCCTTGCTCTTTGCCAGCATCAAAAGGGAGGATGTACTAAAAGGTCTCAAGCTGCATGCAGAGACTATCAACAGCTTCAGATTAAGCACAGCCAACATCACTGGGACCAAACTGGATATTGTATTATTGTCCTTTTTATCATCCTTTTTATTTTTGTGTGTGTGTTCAATAGTTCACTTGAAAAACAAAACACTGAAATAAAAACCACACGCATTTTTCCTACTGAAGTGGTCTACCTGACAATAAAATTCAAGTACTTCTTTCTAAAAGGTGTTTCAGAAAGCACTGAAGTTACAATAAGGAAAAGAAAATATTCGTACTGGCCTCTTCAAAAACACTTGCCTGATGCCCAGTTTTACTCAATTTTAGTAGAAGCCGAGCTAAGGCATGACCACAGTCCAGAGCAATTTCACACCAATAGGCGTGGGTAGATTTCCTGGTGAACATTCAGGGTGGGGCAGACCCTCTCCTGTATCCTTGCTAGATTACAGGCTAAACTGGGGCCAAGTTTCTGCTCTGCTCCCTAATACATATTATGGGTGCAATCATCTCTGTGTAAATCCCTTTGTGGATTTGGGCCTGAGTGTTTTTGAAAATCCCACCCACATGGGACACCCGTAGGTCAAATGAAAAATTGCATAAGCTGTTAACTAAAGCTATAGCTTATAAAAAGTTACCCACAAGAAAGGTACACAGGTTAGTGCTGCTCCAGGGCATCCTTAAGTCACACTTCAGCAAGTTATAAAGTTATCTTTGGAGAGCAATCAGACCAAGTTGTCAGTCCTGTAAGGATAGATTTATGTGTCTCTGACATGTCAGTTGTCGTCTTTGCCACTTCATTGCGGCTATGATATTTCAGCAGGAGGTAACCACTGCTATTCCCCTGCCTGAACATCCACAGAACTTTCTTCTGTAAACATTTATTACCCTGGATATTTTCCCATCACCGAACTGCATCTCTGAATTCATCTACATGTTTTTTTAACTCTCACTCACAGGTCAGTGCTTGTTTTTCCTCAAATTTTTCTCATTTTAATCTGCATTTATGTAGCAGAAGGTTCACAGCCAAACATTTTTTCCCCCAAAACACTCCATACTTCGTTGGTGGTTTTAGTGATATAATTTAAAAGAACACAGTTTTTTTTTGTTTGTTGCTGAGGAAGTAACCTAGGTCATCACCTTGCACAGGAAGAGTTACTTACTGTCTTCCTCGTGAAGGGGCCTAATCAAGAAGTTTGTTAGTAATCTGTACTTTTGATGCAATATTGTCATTGAGCTTACCTCCAGAGTTGGGCTTGCTTCTCCCTATACTCTCCTGAAATATTGCTCTGCAAGTTGGGAAGATGATTTGTTCTGGCTGAGTCCAAAGTGAACAATTAGAGAATGGAAACTCTCAAGGTGAGTTTTTGTTTTTGGCCTTAGTTGTCCTGGGAGGTGAGCACAGTGGCAGTGCCAGCACCATGCAGCACACTGTGTCCTGGCTGCACCTACCCTGGAGCCCGGATCCTCATCCCAGCTCCACAGCCTGCACACAGATTTGGTGTTTGGCAGACAGAAGCTGGAGACAGAGCAGCGCATGGCCCAGTACAAATCTGTAGCCTAAGGGACATGGTACTCCCAGTACAGTTAACTTTTGTACAAAATGCCCCCTGGAGACACGTTTACAGAGCTGCCATTTCAGCAAATGACATTTTGCATATTCTTCGGAGCTGCCACATGGGAATGCAGTCACACTCAGCTCAAAGTGACCATGGGGATTGAACATGACTCGGCTGCTCTCTGGATTGCACACACAGGGTGTTTTATGGCAGCAGACACTGAGAGGAGCTGAAGTGGGGCTAGAAAATGGACAAAAGACACCTTCCCTTCAGCACTGCCATTTTGGTAATGCTGCAATGTTCTGCGCAGGTAGCAGCTTATGCTGGTGCATAGTGGAGATCAGCTTTGTAAGAACAGAACTTTTTTTGTAAAAACCAATATTTCCCAAGTGTTTCTGTTTTTAGTGTGTTTTGTCAGAATTAATACTCAGAAGCTACTAAGGAAATGTTCTAAAACTGTAGTGATATTACTTCAACTTCCTGGTTATTTCCCTTCTCTTGTTAGAGCATATCAAAACTTACTTGAGCCCCATATCATTTTCGCCCTAATTCAGTATTTTAATGTCCTGTTTTCTTTACTGATTTTTTTTTTACTATTTCTTTTGAATTCCTGGTCTGATTATTCCCTTTGACCACACCTACCTGTTGTGGTCTCCTTCCTCATGCTGGGGACAGCTTGGTTTTTTTCCTAATTACCAGAAGGCCTTCCTATTTTTCTTTTTAATTATTTTAAAAATAAATTCTCTTTCTCTTTGTCATTAAGGCTCATCAGATATCTGGTCATGATTTATTCTGAAGTTGTCTCCTTTAGACTGTAAGTATTTTACAATTTAAAATACATCTGATCTCACTGTTAACAGCAGGCAGGGTTTGGAGCAGAACCAACTTAGGCCAAGTAAATCTACCCATGAAACTTTCCAGCATTCCACTGATGCTCCAGTGCTCCCTTGCAGCAAACATAAGTGCTTTTAGAAGGCTTGGTTTTAGTACAAACAACCAAACAAACACACAAACAAACACAGCTCCCGCCAAAAGAACACGCGATCTCCCCATGCATACTTGGGTTCAAATTCCTGACCTGCTGTCTCTCTAACTGCAGATGACTGTGTCAATTCACCCACAGCCTGATAGCTGTCCTTGGGCAAGGTGCGCTCCACAGTTCCTCCTGGAGGGGATCTACTTCCTTTAACAAAGCATTCTTCAGAGTCATTATCTGAATTTGCTTCCTCATGTATTGGGTGAGCATCCCCACAACTGCACTGCAGAACTGCGCTGAAACTGAGCTGCACTTCCTAATGAAAATTCATTTCATTGCAAAATTCCCAATCAGCTCTAATTTGGAAGCCCCAGCTGAGCTCCTGCTGTGAGATATATCATAAGAGACAGATCTTGCTGTGAAGGGCTGGCAGGTTGGAGAGATGAGGGCTGAGAAGAAAAGCACAACAGAAAGGTGAAATGGCCTCCTTGGAATCACGCAATGGGTCAGTGGCAGTTTTGGGTCCTCTCAGTGCCAGCCACAGCCCATGCTACCTCTCACATCCTGAGCTTACAGACAGACTCAGCTTTCCCTGGTCATCTTTTCATTAACTAGATTATTCTTGCATGTAGGTTAATGCTTGGGTGCACAAGTTCAGCAGTTTTGAACCTTGCTTACAAAGCATCACGTACGTGTATATGGCACCATCAAAAAATTTGAGGTAACAGATAACAAAGATGTCACAGTAAAATGCTTAAAAACCAGACCCTATTGCAACAGAATAGGCAAGAGAACAAAGAAAATCAAGTATAAGACAAACTAAAGTCTGTCAGCTGCTCTGAACAAGGTAAGAAATACCATGTGAATTTCACAGTTTGGGAAATCTGGCATAAGATGGTGCACCTGAGCTTGTACAGGTTGTTAAGCCAATGCTATGGTTTGAATGTGATCCCTTACTTAAACTTTTTCAGATGCTTCCCAGAGCTCTAAGACTATAAAAATTTTTAGTTTTAAAGCAATTTTTTTTTTCTTCTGGCCTTACACTGATTAGGAAGAGAATTAGAGATGGCTTGTTGTATATTATGAATAATATACAATTGTATTTTGTTTATTTTTCTTAGGAGCTTTCTGAAACCAAAATTTCTCTTTGAGGACAGCTGGTCCATGCCCCTGAGGAAAAAGATGCTTATGTCAAGGCTGAGGTTAATGATTTTAATTTACAGTTTTTGTGGGAATATTGTTTTGATTCTGCAGATATCGCTGTCTCTCCATTGTTTTAAAAAAGCAGCAATACTTAAATAAGGCTTTACATCTTATTACCCCAAAACACATTTAATTTTGTTTGACTAGATCATGTCAGTATGTTAATAGAATAATTGTTATTCCAAACATGCTTGGTGAACTTGAATACCAAAGTGAAGTTTATATGTTTAATCAAATATATTCAGTAATTCCAGTGGAAAATGCAGAAGTGTTTTCTGTCAATATTTTCTTGACTTTTGAAATGAGTATTCATTGCCCAAATTGTCATTCTTGTGGATCTATTTTCTATCCATATCCAAGCAATTGAATTTGTTTGTATGACTGTTTACAATGGCTGAAAAGGGGGAAAAAAACCCCCACAAGGTCACATTGGCAATACTTCTGCTGGAAGTGCTTTTAGAGGTATGTGGTCAAGGGAAGGAAACATCTTACAGATTTTCAAGCCATGAGTTGTCAGGTGGGTCATAAAACCAGCTGCAATTCCCAAAACTGTACTGTATTTTTGGATGTATTATAAAAAGGCTGCCATTTCTCTTTTTTGTCTCTCATGCAACACTTCATCTTTCATTCTGCATGAGATGATGACTTAAATCTTGTCTGGTTCCTTCAGAGAGCTTCAAAAGAGAAAAAAGGCTTAAAAATATGACTTGATAAAAAGCCTATCCATAGTGCTATCTGGTTTAGAAAGCAAGCAGGGACCTTGGGGTGAGAGCTGCCCATGGAATGGTGCTGTGCAGGCATGGGCAGGTGGCAGGACAACATGGTATGAATGGGAACAGGAGCTCTGGGAGCAGTGGAGATTCTGAGAGAACACTTGAAGAGACATCACAGAAGTGGGATATGAAACGGAAGGATCTGCGGAAGAATGATCTTGAGGGCACAGGAGCAGAACAGGGAAATGCAAAGAGCCTGTAGGACCAAGAGGGAATTAAGGGATCCTATGGGGCTCCTTTCTGCTGTTGACCCAGCTACCTCTCAGGATAACATTGTGGGAAGGTGCCCAAAGGGAATTTGTAGAATGTGGTTTGAAAACGTTCTATATATTTATCACTAAACTCTCCACATTTTCTTGAAGCAACTTTCTCCAGCAGTGACTGCTTACAGACCCAGCCAGGAGAGAATATTTGGATGGACTTTTGTTGGGTGGCATGGCTGGCAGGTGAAGGCAGCGCCGCTGAGCTCAAGTGTATCATGTTTGCAATTTGTTTCAGGACTGACCCTGAACCTTCCAGGCCCTGGAAGATTTTCTGTCCTCAGGGAATGTGAGGAAGTGTGGACACAAAGGGAGAGACTTGAACTATTTCTCCAGGAAAAAAAGATGTAAATATTTTTGTATATTGGCTGACGGTTTTTAAAGATTTTGCTAAATAGTATGGTTTTATTACTTCTAATAGTAGAAAAACAAGCTGTCCTAGGATCACAGTTGTGACACATTTCCTCAGATTATCTTAGTTGGAAACCTCATTTGAGATAAGACATTCTTCTTTTCAGCGGTATAGCTCCTGTTAAGTTATTATAGAATTAAGGAAATGATGATTTTATTGTTAACAAACAGTAAAATATAATCCAACATTTTCACCACATTCAAGAATGCTGTAGAACTGTTGATGGAAGTGTGTTATTCTTGCTTCTAGACAAAGAATATCAAAAAAGATTGTTTAATATGAAAATTCACCTTTCCCAATTACAAGTATTTTCAAACCTACAGTGTATTCAGAGTATTTTGTGTAGCTTCTCCGCTCTGAAAAATCCATGGACAAATTTTCACGGAGAAAGTTAGATATAGATGATACAGATATAGCTATATCTATTTTTCTTTTAGGTGAAAGTGGCAGCTGAACAAAGCCTGTTCTCTCAACGAAGCAGCAAAGCAGCAGTATAGGGCCAGGGCTGGAAGTCCTGCTGCTGTAAATCCACACCAATCCAACTAAAACCTAGCACTTGTGAATATTAAATTCACACTAGTGTAGCTGAGAGTAGAAATGGCCTTTGTTTTTGAAACCCTTGGAGTCTGAAGTGAAAAAAAAAAAAAGGAGCAGGGTTTAACCTTTAAACCTTTCACTGACCTTTAAGCAGTACTTTGGATTATATCTGCCCTTGTTAATCTGAAGCCACTTGCAAACACAACTGGCATTCCTGTTTTTTATGTATACTCTACACGCATTATAGAATGGGTGAGCAATTGAAAAGTTTGGCTCCTGTTCATTGTGTCTTTATCACCTTTTAAAGTGATGCTTATCTTTGTAAACAAAATTTCTTAGTAAGCAGCAACACGAGAAATGCTTTGTGTCAAAATACATCATGTAAATGATGGCCAGGCTTAGATCTGTACTCTTGAAAGTGCAAATCCACGTGTTGATCAAGACAATAAATTTTGTAGAATTCCTGTATTAATGTAGAACTCAACAAGGAACAGTTTTTTGGCACCTCTTTCTATCACAGGTGAGTAGAAACTTCTGCAGCATCTGGCCAGACCATTATTTTTCCTTCTTTGGCTTTTCTTTCACACTATTCACATCACTGCTTTGCATGCACTTTTTTCTCACGTACCTTCCCCATACATATCTTCATTTTGGTCTATTAAATACAAACTACAGGTACAAATGACTTTAAATGAACCATGAATTTATCTTGGACGAGATCTCACTGTTCTCATAATCTAAACAGAGTTTAATTAACACTAGAAACATCTACTTCTTGATATAAATAAAATAGTCTAAAACTGGTGATTGTAATTTCCTCTTTTCATTCACACAATGATTGCAAAATGTCTTGCCATTCACATGGAAATTTTTCTTCTAAGTAGGTCTGTCTTTAGTGGAACAATGTCATGGGCAGCGCACAAATTTATAGAGGATGTATATGTTTAAGAAACAGCAGCTATTTCATATTCTGTGTCCCTCATTTGAATCAAGAATTTTCCTGCTGGATTGTTACAGTAATACAGAGGAACTGATGTACAGCCCCTTACATTCAAGCTACTTTTCAAGTGCAGAAATACTGGCCTTAGAAATTGACAAAATTACAGACAAGTTATTTTGCCTTGAAGTATGAAATGCTGGAAATTGCTGAGACAACTTAGCACAGTAGAGACAGGCTGAATCAGTGTGAGGAACACCATTGTAGGTTTAGAAGGATAAACACATGGGATTTATTTTCCTGAAAATTTTACCAGGACTTGACATTGTAAAGACATTGAGTGTCATAGGCTTTTAAAGAAATGAAGAGTTGATAAGCTGAGAGCAAACACTGAAAGGTCTTGTGATGCAGCTGGTGAAAAGCACCTGTTTTTTATGGTGGATATTTATTTGAATATGAAAAGTACTATACATTTCTTTTATCATCTCCTCATCTCTTGCTGTTGCATGTTGGAGAATTACTAAATCTCTGGAGAGGGATCAGATCTGTAAAAGTTGTCAGTTGTTAAGACAAGGTATTCAGTGAATAAATGAATTATTGTACTGAAGTCCTTTATTGAATATTCCTGTGTCACTGCTTTAGTTAAGTATCAAGAACACAGGCATTTAACAATATTACTTTAAATTCAAAATGCCTGGAAAGTAGTGAGATTCAATTTGCAAATGTAACCAAGAATAAAACATGTGCCTTGGATTACATGTCACTTCTTGGGATGTTTTGACATAACACATTTAGAAAATACTTTCCTGTGACAGAAATGAGTAAAATAAATTTCAGTTATCTGTGACTTCTAACAGTCCAGTTCTTGGTTAGTTTGTTCCCTGCATCACAGCAAGCTCCAGCTGACATGCTCACCTGTGTATCAGTGTGGAGGCCAACTGCTTAAGGCTAAAGTGCTATTGTGCTCCTTGTGTGAATAATCCTGTTAGCAGCAAGGGAACGCAGGCATGGAAAAAGCATGAAATGGTCACAAGTGAGAAATAACCTGACTTCCTTCTCTTTTCTAGAGATGATCTGTGCAGTGTTTTTAGACAGATCTCTTGTGTGATGGTACCAACATCTTCAAAGACTCCATCTTTTTGTCTCCTCTCAGGGGTACCAAAATCACACCAGCTCTCCCATATATGTTCAGATGGGCACACTTAGAAAAGTAGATAAGCAAATCCATTCAATAATCTGTCCTCTTCATTTCCAAAATATTGGTACCAAGATAGAAAATATAAGGATACACAGGGAGGTACTTTTCTCTGTGTCTTTCATGAAAACACACTTACTCTAGAAATTCAGTATATAAGGACCACAGACCATTGTTCCCAAAGAGCAAGCATGTCATAATGGAAAATATACACCAGAAATTTAATGTTAACCCTACTTTTATTAAATACAGTTAAAGTAAGTACAGCTTCTCAGTATCAAATTTTAGTATTATGTGCAGTATTACATAAAAAAAATTAATCCAAGTAGACAATTCCTACTACAGAGTTATGCTCAAATTTCCCACTCATATTTGTGGGACTTGCAGAAATCCAAGAATGGCGGTTTTGGATTTACTAACAAAATGTCCCAATTAAACTTATCCAGGAGGGCAGGCAAGACTGCCTGTAACATTACAGTATGTTATGTTAGTAGTAACATTCTCAGAACAGCATGATTAGTTCACTGTTAATATCACCTGCCCATCCATCTAGGCCAGGCAAATACTAAAACCAAAAAAAGATTGCTACTTTTTTGCAGTGCGCCTGTTCTTAGCACATGATGAGAGGATTGTGAAGACAGTGATGGAACATACATCAAAAACCTGTTGCTTCATGCTCTGTGACACATTTGCTGTACCAGGAATGAAACAGAGAGAAGGAATTTGGTTGCTGGAATTATGAAATCCAGAACCTGGTTCTATAACCTGCTGATGATATTGACTTCTGTTGTCATTTGGATGTGGTTACATATTCACTGTCTTAATTAATAGTTATGGATGTTGCATGACATGGTGTTAACACCCTATCTGAAAATAAAATGAGTACTGACATGTCAAGGACTTGGCTAAAAGGTGTTTTGATTTCTCTCTGATTAGTGCTGGATCTCTCTGTTGATTTGTCAACCATTTTAGCTTCATCAGATGAAGCAGAAAGACGGGCAAAGGCAGGCTCTGTTTCCCACAGCGTCCTGGGGCTGGAACCAGCTGCACAAGAGGTAAGGCAAGGTTAGAAGTGCACTGAGGCAGCCCAGGGACCAGCTAACCAGTACCCACCACTCCTGCTCAAACCCTCCTGCTTCCCACATTCAGTGGGTGGCAGCAAACATAGATGATTCCCACATTCAGTGGGTGGTAGAAAACAACAGCTGCCCCACTCCTTAGGCTGTTGGCTAAGACCTGTGGGACTCATGCATTTGAAAGCTTCATGTGGGAAAAGGAAGTAGAGACTGAAGCACTCACACCCTAGGGAAATGCACAGATAACACCTCTGAGGGCACAGCAGCATGTGGAGCACCATCATCAAATTTTGTCAGAGATCAACACCTCTGGGACTTTAGTGATGTCCCTGACCTGAGGGATGTGTTCTGTGTAGAACATTTCAGGGGCAGCCCCTCAGTGAGGCAGACACAGCCCTGTTCTCTGCACGGGTCACAGAGGGAGTGAGACATGAGGAAGAGGAAAAGGAGGAAGGTTGTTCTGCCCTGGTGAGCAGGTGCTCTTCTTAATCTATATCATAGCAAGTACCCCAGCAATATTAAGGCTGGAAATTGAGGAGCTTTAACCTGCTTAAGGCTCTTGGGCTCTTATGCCTTTATGTACACTCGTGCAGACAAGAAGCATGTAAGGCTTGCAGTTCAAAATACAGATACAAATAATGCTGATGTTTGGTAAACAGTTCCTGTCTTCTGCTATGCTCCTTTGGAGAGAAAAAAAAACAGTAAAAGAGAGAAAGCAAGCAAAACTCCCACAATTTAACTTTGCTACAAGATTTGTCTTCCTCCCCTTAGAAACATTAAAATCCAAGTACATGCCAGTAAACATTTTCAGGAGATGGTACTCAGTACATAAAAAGCTAAGCAAATAAACTTCAAACATCAAAGTACCAGATCTTAAAGCTTGGAATTTAAAACTGCAAAGTGCACAGAAATAAAACCCTTGCGGACATGCTAAAATGTCTAATTCATTATTATTTCAAAAAAGATTAAAAAATAATTTCTTAACATTAAAGTGCAATCAAGCACTGAAGAAATTATTTAAACTTTCCATAGGAAAAAAAGCACACTTTAGAATGCTGCAAGGGTATTGATGGCTATTAAATATTTACTTTTCTCTCTAGCTCACACTAGAAAGAGTAATTTGTATTTGGCAGAAACTGGCTGCAATTACATTAGTCAATCCAAAAGCCCAACTTGCTCATACAAAATGCAAACAAATTAGTTAAAATGGTCTAATTAGCAGACTGTAAAAATGCAAAGCAAGGCTGGCATAAAAAATGTGTGCTAGACAAGTATACTTTTACAAAATAAACAGAAAGGCAAATATGAATAATCTAATAAATCCTAGCTAAATGTGACTATAATGTGAACCCAAATATTTAGGGATTGCATACTTTAAAGAAAAGTTTCTATGGGCTCTTAAATATTTTCTTGCGACCCACATTCCATCATGAATACATGATTAATACCACAGCTGAAGTTCTGGGATTTCAGTTGAGCCTGTGGAGCCGTGTGAGGGCAGGTTATATATACATTTTGTGTGAGAATATACACAAACACAGCTCCTAGTCAAGTTAATCAGAGTGCAAGGTAGCTTTGGAGCACACAAAGAATATAGGATATGGCCTATGGAAGGAAGGTCAAGTCATTTCTTTACATGTAGTGTATTTGTTTTGTTTCCACAATTAAGATAAATAACTGGAAGCATACGGAAGTGTGGAAACAGCTTAGATAAAAGATAAAACATGTTTGCTCTATGAGAAGTATAAACTGTGGGCATTGTCCATAAGGACTTAGCTTACTGGCTGAAAAGAATCACTACAAAAACTATTATTGTGGTCACTGGCATATAGGACCAGAAAGGGCTTTGGCATCTTTTGCGTCATTACACCACTGCAGTTTTTTAGTCTGTGGGGTTTTAGCTTTCTGTTTTCTACATTATACATAAAATAGTTCCTGATGATTCATAACCTATCACATGAAAGAAGCTGTTGTGAGGTGGTGATGTGAATTTGTCTCATCACATGCTCCCGTGTCCTTCAGCACAGTGGAAGCCACATTCTTTCTTCTTGCCACCTGACAGATGGCAGAGGATGGGTGGCTTTGGCAAAATAGTTAGAGATGCATTGAAGAAACAGTAACCATGAATCTCCAACAAAAATGTGATGTTATTTGGCACAAAGAACCTGTGTGCAAAAGCAGAAGTGTTCTGCCTACCCTGAAGAGGAGGTCACCCAGTAGAAAACATACCTTGGCAAAAGCAGAGCAGTGGCCACAAGGTGTGGTCATTACAGCCACTAGAGCTCAGAGGAGCTGACTCATTTCACTGAAATGCTTTACCGTGGCACCTTCACTCCCCCGTGCTGCCCTCAGACTGCCTCTCTGTGCCAAAGAGGTTCAGTCCATCACTCTCTCTCATGAAGGGCATTGATTTGGTGGGATGGATGTCTCTGCTGGTTTCAGTACCACTGGAGGAGGAAGGTATTTGTGAGTGTAATTGCAGAGCCCAGTAGAGATGGGCTGTTATTTGACTTGGTGCTTGACAAATGGCTTTGAGAACTGTAAAGGTAACAAGCTACATCACAGAAATGGTCTTTTCCACGTTCTTACCCATAGCCAGATATTTCCATCTCACAAAATTTTCTTCATATTTAGAATCTTGAATCCCACAGAGCTCCCTGGTGATGACTGGATAAAACAAGGATGTTGGATATATGAGAAAGAAAAGGAAGTCCAGGCATCAAAAAGGACATTTGAGAGAATCAGAGCTTGGGGTATAGGGAAAGAAGTCCTATCATGTGGGAAGGCTTCATCCTGTTGTAAAGAATCTCAGCTGTGTTGTCCCAGTTTTGTTGCTCCACGTCACGGGTGGCAGACAGGTGACAGGATGTCTGCTTTGCCTCTGCTATGCTCATGCTGAGATCACAGAATCACAGAATAATGAGCTTGGAAGAAATCTCTAAGATCATCAAGTCCAACCTATGCCCTAAGACCTCAACTAGACTATAGCACCAAGTGCCATGTCCAGTCTTTTTTAAACACATCCAGAGATGGCAGGATGTTGAGATGCTTGAGGGAGTCCAGAGGGGGCAACAAGGCTGGTAAGGGGCTTGGAACACAAGCTCTATGAGGAATGTTTGAAGGAGCTGGGGCTGTTTAGCCTGGAGAAAAGGAGGCTTAGAGATGACCTTATTGCTCTCTACAACTTCCTGAAGAGAGGTTGTAGTCAGGTGGGTGTTGGTCTCTTTCACGGGGCAGCAACTGACAGAACCAGAGGACACAGTCTCGAGCTATGTCAGGAAGGTACAGGCTGGATATTAGGAAGACTTTTTCACTGAAAGAATAATAAAGTACTGGAATGCTCTTCCCAGGGAGGTGGTACCTAATTACTGTGATTGCTACCTCTTTGAAGGAGCCATGGGACTAAGGACCAAAATTCAGCACAGTTCTCCAGGCTGGTGACTACAAAGCTTTGTGTCCTGTGTTTCATTTCTGCCTCTACAGTCAACTACAGCAAGCCCAGGTGAATGTATCAACTTCCTGCCTTGTGCATGGCTTTGTTCATCCTTCCCTATGTCTGCTGGCTGCTCCATTATCCCTTAGGTGCCAAATACCAGGAAAGGCATAGATTCCTGAGCTTTTGCAATGTTCCTCCTAGAGTTCCTCACCCCTTGCAAGTGATTCACTGAAGAGGCAGATGAATCTGAGCAGAGTGTGTTTAGCCTGGTGCACCTCAGCCCACCAGAGCAGATCTCCCCCTCTTATCATGGCATCCATGGTCAAACAGCCCAAGAGGGGAAGTGGTGCGTTTCCTGTTCCCTAAATCTGCTGGGAGTTGCAGTGAGTGTCTGCAAACCAGCCTCATACATAATTCAGTCTGATTTCACAGAAAGCTTGGCTCCAAACTCTACTGACCCCAGTGAAAAGACACTTCTAGACTCAGTGACTTTAGCTCATGCACAGGTTACATCTGGTTGCTATTTTTTGTGAGAGACCAGCCCTGGAATGAGAGAAATGATGCAGATACTGTATCTCTAGTAAACCCGCATAAAGAGATGTGAGTAGTGAGGAGAGGGTTGAGGTCATGCAGGAAAGGGTAACAGGAGATGTTGTATGGGAACTTGGGTGGATGGGGAAGTGAAGACAAAGACACAGGGAGGAAAAGTGGTAGAGATGAGAACTGAAGCAGAAGGCATGTAAGAACTACATCAAGAAATAATGTGTAAAGAAACTAAAAAGGCAAGTGACAAGGAACACTAATTGTCTATTTCATTGCCTGAAACAGTGTCTGTAGCTGCAATATGACAGTGCAAATCAGACCTGTTTCTTAGGCAAACAGCATGTTCATCATGGGGGAAAAGTGTGAGGGGACCAAATAAGGAGGAAAGAACAAATGGTCAGTTTTCTCAGTGAAAGCAGGATACTGCTGGAGACCCACAGGAACCTGGGCTGAGACCTGTACTAACACTGAATTACTCAAGATAGAAAAATGAAAACTTATGTGAAGAACTAAAGAAAAAAGCCCTCCTGATACACACCCTTTGATAGACACTGAGGCGCTGGAGTGTGTCCAGACGAGGGCAAGGGAGCTGGGGAAGGGAATGGAGCACAAGTGTGATGAG